CTTCATATGATTTGTCTTCCAGGCCCTTCACCAGTTTCGTTGCCCTCCTCTGCACTCGCTCCAGCACCTCCAGATCTCTCTTGGATTGAGGTGCCCAAAACTGGACACCAGAGCAGGATATTACACACAGTTAAGCTGAAAATGTTCTGGACAATAAATGGAGAGGTGCAGAAAAACACCCTATCATGTTGGGAGGGTCTAAATAAGCAAGAAGATAACGATACAAGAACAGAGATATGATGATCTCTAAAAAAAACTGCAGGAAAAGCCTAACTGAACACAAGGAAGAAAGAGTCAGTTGAGCAGCATTTGGTTTCTAGGCTAATTTAATTACGTCTATCTAATAACTGATTATTATTCTAATCAATTATTTCATCACACGCCACATGATGCAATAATTCAAAGCGGCGTTTGAGCCCTTATCTCGTGCTGTTTAATGATTAGGCTTCAATTCACACTGGGGGTGTTTACTCACAGGACTGAGAGCGCTGGCCGTTTCTCTTTGCGTGACAGCGCTCGTAGGGTTATTTCCCAAATCAGCACCACAAACTATTTTCAAAACCGCCGCGCTGCTGCTTCCCCAGGCTGAAGCCCTGGAAGGTGATGTATCCATAGGGCTGGCATTACACAACTGGTAACACAACCAGTTTGGCTAAAGACCTAAATAAGAGACCAGTATATGCTTTTCATCTTGCAGACAAACGCCTGTCGAAGAGAGGATGAAAACAGTAGCTATTTGAATGTGAGTGTGTTCACCGTGGTAAGCTCCTTGGTACAAAACCATTATTAAAGATAATTAAGTAGTTGAAAATAAGGCCTCACAATCTATAGTAGTCTCAAATATTACGAACTGGCTTTTAATATATGCTTTTCAATAAAACAACAACAAGTGACAATACATGTAATAATACACGTCAAGGACTTTACTCCCAAATAACATTAGTTACCCTAAAAATCAGAAGAGATGAGAGCAAACTTCAAAGTACTACAAATGGGAATAAATACTTTTTAATAAAATATCTCTCTTCTCCACTCACGAACAGCTCACAGGATGCAGAACGTGCTCACAGAAAGCAAATACTTCTCCAGCAAACTACAGGACTGCGAAGGTATTTTACTGCTTGAGAAAAAGCAAAGAACACAAAACCAGTGGAGAACTGGACCACCACCTCCACCCCACTGCCCTCAGAGGATGGGGGCTCAAATGGGACAGCCTGATTTTAGAGGAGCCTCATTAGCTTGTGTGATTGTTAACAATGCTATGGAAAGGCAAGAGGAAACCTAATCTCTACTTTCTTCTTTTAGACTGACGGTAGATTATTCTTGAAGCCTAAATGTTTGAAAAAAGCACTAAGACTGAGTAAGAGCTTCCTGAAGAAATTCTTTCCCCTCTTTCTGGTCCATTCAAACTCTCAGATAATTTCGGTGAATCACCGAAGGCCTTCTGTATTTCCCTTCTTAGATTTCCTATTAATCATCATTCTGTTAATTGAACAAAGATCTCCGGGTACATACGCCCTACCTGTTTTTACATGTGGACTTCTAGCTCAGGGAACAATGAAGGGTAAGTCATAGTACTGAAAACAAAAAATGGGGAAAAGCAGCTGGGGCCACTTTCACTTCCACATTCCCCTTTGGGCATCATTGAGTCACACGCCTGAAAGGAGAACCCTTTGTGGTTTGTTTTTTTTAAATACACCCCACAGATGCTTCTAAAAGATTCAAAACCTCGTACTCCTGGTTGCAGTTTTAGAAAAAACAAGACTTAAAGAAGAAGAAAAAAAAAAAAAAAAAAAAAAACCAAAAAAAAAAACCCTTGATTTTTGAACAAAATTTCCACCAACAAAGGTCTCTCTACCCCTTACCAAGCAGTGCACCCCACTGGTATCTGCTCAGGACAGTTATCCCTCTGATTTTCTATACAATCCACCAGGAGGGTGCATGCGGCAGAAAAGCAACACGGGGAGGGACCAAACCCCCTGGTGAAATCCCTCCCCAGGGATTGTGTATCCACCACGGCTGGAAACACAAAATTGCTTCTCTGAGCTCCCCCCAGCCTCCAAGCAAACCCACCGCCCCAAACAACCTGGTGGGAACATCCTCCCAGTGATGTATTTTGTTACTAAAACTTGTTAACTCTGTCAGCTGTTACCATTTTATAGTTTAAAATGTTTGGGGATTGTTAAATTGCTACAGGTACACGGAGCAAAAAGCCTACAGGAATTAACTGGTACTTCAAATGTGGTTTTCATGAAAGCTGATGGATCCGTAACAATTCCTGAAAACAATATAGATTTGAGAAATTTTTCCAAGTGACACATTTTGATGTAAGAGCAGCATTAGCTATGGGTTTTAATTATATACGGAGCAAAAAGCCTACAGGAATTAACTGGTACTTCAAATGTGGTTTTCATGAAAGCTGATGGATCCGTAACAATTCCTGAAAACAATATAGATTTGAGAAATTTTTCCAAGTGACACATTTTGATGTAAGAGCAGCATTAGCTATGGGTTTTAATTATATATAACATCTCATCTGTGTGATAACAGGTTTCCAAAAATCTGGTGTATAAAGAGGCATGTTCATGAACAAACTGCTTTGGGTTTTATCCTGTAAATCAGTATTATCAACAGAATTTGGTAATACAATGTATTCTGCATTGATTAATCTATGACTCAGCCTGGTCTGAGCTTTCCCCTGTTCAATTTACAGTTAACGACTGGTAGAAACTGTAACAGAAAGAAGAGAAGGGTGGACAAGAAAGAGGCTTATTATTATGTCAAATTAATATATCAATTTTGCTGTTTGTAATATTGTTTTAATAAAAAGCTCAGCTGGGGAAAAAAAAACCCAAACCAGTTCATTTGCCATGATGTGCTACTGATAAGAAATTTCTGAAGAACTGATTTGTAAGGAACTTGGGGCAACCAGAGTTCTCAGATCCATCATTAAGGAATTACTTGCAATTCCCAGCCCAGGTACTTGCAGAGCTGCACGCCTCACCTGCGGCAGGGAACCTGAGCTCATTAAGGAGCCCTGAGCCTAATGAGTCTTTTTGAAATGCCCTGTTGTGGGGGTCCAGCAGCCAGCCCTCCCCGAGCCTTGCAGCCCATGAAGCCAAGATCTACACCTACCGTTTAAAAGACCGTTATCAACAGCACAATCACTCCCATTCTGAAATAGTTCTCAAACTCTTACATACATATAGGCAGAAGTCAAAAATTCAAAGTCAGGCAGAGAGAAGATAAAACCAAGGAAGAAAGTGTAGGATTGCGACCCGGTCTGCACCAGCTTGAAAAGTTGTTTCCAGCTCCCTATTGAGATCCCTCACCGGCGTTCATTAACAAGCCCTAAAACAATTACTGGCCACCAGACTCCACCCAACCTACCCCAACATCACTATCCATCTTAAAACCAACTAGGAACGCTTCACCAAAAATTCCATGATACTCTTTTGCCACTGACAAGTTAGGTCCCCAGAGAAAAAAAATTCAGAATTCAGTGAAAAAAAAAAGGTTGATTTTACTTTTCCAGTGAGGGAGTGAATGTTGAGGCTCAGGGAAAGAGAGCAGAAAGATCTTATATTAGAACTAGCTTGTAAATATTCCCAAGACAGACCCCAAACCTCTGTAACTTTGCCTTGTCATGACTATAAGCATCTGCTATAACCATTACTTGGCCATGAGGTAGCACCAATTTCTATAAAATTGGGTTATCCATCTATACTTTTAGCTTCGTCATGGGTTTTCTTTCCTCCCCTTTGAATAGCATTTCAAAATTGGAAACATCAAGCATGCAAAGAGAAAAAAACACGTTTGTATTTTAGCAGAAATTTTGAAGACATTTTAAATTCTGAAACTCAAATCTGCTGGAACTCAATCAGCAAGAGGAGGCTTTGAAATACGTGGTTACTCTCTGAGACAAGCCATTCACGTTACCCAGTGTCTGAACTCCAATGGACTGACTGCAAACAAATCTCAACTGCTTGAAGTTTTTGTTCACAAAAGGAATTTCTTTTCAGAATTCCTTTTTTTACACATGAAAGACTGAACCACTGAATAACGCTATTATGTTCTACAAGATACTAATATGAAATAACAGTTATCTTCTGCTAAAAACGTTACATTCAGAAACACTGTAGGAAGTGCCACACAGTTACTACACGTTCCGCATTTTCTTTCCAAGGTAAATATCCTGGCAGTTCAAAGTTGTTAACTGGTATCAAAATCTCCCTTTTTAGCCTTTTCAATCCCTCCCAACCCAGTGAATAAACATCAATTCCCCCACCTATAAATCACGCAGGCTCAGCTTCAACAGCTTACTAGAAGAAAAACAACAGAAAGCTTGAGATTTCGTGGTCTCCTACGCAGAGTAGCCCTTGTTCTTCACTTTTTTCAAAGCTCAGAAGCTCAGTGAACAGAGTAACCCCCCCAGCCCCAGGACTCCACACTAACTGGTCTGCACTGAAACATACCCAATGACTGTAAGGTGAGGTTATAACCAGGTTCCCAGCTCAGTAGAAAATAAAAAAAACTTATCCTTTCCAAATTAAAATCACACAAATATTACAGGCTAGTCAGTTCATTGCAATTTAAGAGAAATGGTAAAGCTCGTTATGTTATTTGTTATATTTTTTTTGGTTAAAATTAAACGAGAAAGCAAAATGTAGCAGGCAAAACATGCACAACTATGCTACTTATATCACAACTTCAGTTAACAGGCAATAAAACACAAAAGCTCACCACCACCACCCCCAGCAAGAGCCTACTGTACACAAAGCCCTCTTAAGATTCACTCCTACAATGCAGTTAAGTAGAAGATTTCAGAAAAGGGATGCACAAAAAGAAAAAAAATAATAACCCCACCACCACCCCCCCCCAAAAAAAAAAAAAAACCAAACACATTTAGCAGACTTAACAGTTTGATTAAACAAGAGCCCTGAAGAGTTTAAACACATGTTCAACAGCATAACAATTACAACAAGAAAGAAGAAAGGCACCTGGAGACATCTGACACTGGGCATGCTCTGCAGGCATCTCAGTGCGCACATGCTCTCTACCAGGTTGGAGCAGCCTAGCCACAAAGACCTTGGCACAGAACACTGCAGGGTGACAAAAAGGAAGGAAGAGAAGAAGCAGTTAGATGCCACAACAAATCACTCAAGGCAGGCAACTCATTAGTACGTTAACGTGGGTAACTTATCTATGTTATTTCTACATTAATCACAAAAGTTAGCGGCCAAGGGTAAAATAACGACTGAAGATCCTTGTTAGAAAATAAGCCATCCCTGTGTCCTACCAAGGAGACCGAGCTCATGTTCCTCCTTTGCAACCCAGCTGATGGTCCTACTGGTCGTGTTGGAGTTGGTAGAGTTGGGGTCCAGCATCTACGGATGCTGCTGCGGCAGGAGATGCCTCCCCCAGCAAACCCACCTGGCCAAAAAATCACTGGTGAGGTTCTTCCCTCCGCAGCCACCCGCGGGGAGGAGAGGGGCAGGAGCTCCTCATTAGGGTGGCACGTCGTTAGAATACAACCCGGAGGAGCGTGGGGAAGGAAGGTTTGGCACCCAGCACCCTCTCAGCTTTCTCAAAGCATTTGTGCCTGTTTATCCCGACAGCAAAGCCGACAGGAGCTTCTGGGGTTACCCGGGACACGGCCACAACCAAAAAAATGACGTGGTTTTAAAGAGGGACACCACCTCCCTAAGTTCAAATTGCCAAGACCAAATTCTGCATAGCATCCTGATCAAATGGGTTATTAGGGAAAAAAAAAAAAATGTATTCTCAGTTGAGGGCATCCTAAAGCCAAATTATCCCCTGACTACGTTAATTTATTACTCCTACCACCACCCAAGCCAGAAAGAACCAAGCTTAACTACCAGACTCCACATCGCTGACACGAGGAGTTAGGAAAAGGTTGGAAATCCTTTTTGCTTCTTTTCTGAAGCTGAAGAAATTTGCTGCAGGCTCCCCAAACCTTTTATAGCCCCATGACATTATTTCACAGTTCCTTTTAAGGACAGAATAGTACGTACGCTACAGAACCATCAGATAAAGTGAGGGAAAAGGAGTCAATTAATCACTATCAAGCAACGCACAAACCCAGCTCTAAAATTTGGCACCGGCTTAGGCTTTTAGTATTTTTCACACAGGCTTCCAATTTTGTTGTAAGAAACACCAAATATTTAAAAGAAAAATCCCAGAGACATGGAAGTTGGGAGTAATGGGAGGTGCAGAGTCAGGGACAGGGGTTTGTGCCAGGGCTGGGGGGAAGGAGGGAGCCCAGAGCAACTGAAGAATAAAAAGAATTAAAAACCTGATTTTTGTTTGGTTTGTACCTTACAAATAAAACAAAAAAAAAGCCTAATATTTTCACCTCAGTGCTAAGGAGAGAAAATAAAGGAAAAACAGGAGGAGGACCCTAGCAGCACCAAACCACACAGGAATTGTCTCTCTAATCCAGCAGGAAGGCTGCAATTCCCTAGGGATGTTCTGTACTGTGCATTTGTCGTGGGATGAGTGGGTGTATACACCTTGTGTACACAGGTAAAACCAAACATATTTATGCTACAGCATATTCTTCCTTCTATATCAAAATAAACCACGGGTTTATATTATCAAAAGCTTAGAGAAATACGATTTTTAATTTAGTAATTAATCCCATGTATCTATAATTACTTTGCGATAATTTACTTTTGACACGTCCGCACATAAACACTTTAAATTTTAATTCCCAAGATTAATTCAAGATCGTCAACCAGTGACATTAGGGAAACTACCTTAATTGCAGTGAGATACCAAAAAACCCAAGGGATTTCTATCTTTTTTAAAAAAGGCAGGACGTACTCTTCAAACCCACTGATATTGAAGATGGAGGATCTTATATTGACCGTTTACAGCTCTGCTTCAAAACAAGGGGATATAATTAAAAGAAAAAAAAAAACCCTTCCTTTCTAATCTGTTTCATTATTTCATCTGATTTGGCACAATACCCGAATGGTGTTTCCGTGACACCAAACCATCAAAATTCAGTGCATTGCTGCAGGTATTTGTTAAAGCCCAAATAAGTTTTTTGCATTTTTAAACATACAGGCCCAGTAAAAAAAAAAAAAAGAAAAAAAAAAAAAAAGTAACTCTGGTCACATCGCTTAATAAAAGTCATTGATCAACAAACACCACAAACTTCTCACCTAAGATTTTCAGATAAAATGTACAAATCTGTGCATATAATCTGTATAATGAACCTACACTTACAGGAGTTCACAAATTATAAGTTAAAAATCAGCATTTTAGGGTATTAGACTGTTTTCTTTTAGGAACCACTCTAGTTAAATAAGCTGAATTTTAAGAACTTGAGAGAAATATGAATAACTTGTGAACAATTTTTTGATGTAGTTCAAAATAGATTCGACACAGAGGCCATTTCCATGCCAAAGTTCAAGCCACACAAAACCCTTTCCACGCTATTACAAAACCCTGAATAAAAGGATTTATAAAAATCACTAGACACTCGGCTGGAGCAACAATATTGCACAATACTACAAATTAAATATTGCGTTGTACTTCACACTAACACAGGAATGTGCAAATATTTGTATGCTTCACCGACGTGTTATTTCTTGACCCTGCTTGCACAGTGACTGTCATGAATAAAAGCGTAATAGCGTACTAAAGATTTCATTTTTGCATAACTAAGAGCCTGAACTGACGTCTTCACTTTCCCACCTGCCTTTCGTCAGGATCCCAGGGAGACACAGCACTATTTATTATAAAGTTCAGGAAAGGGAAAATGACCCTGGGCCAACAGGTATAATATTAAATGCACTTATTAAGCAGTGTCAATCCGGCCGGCAGACAGTAGAACCACACAGACTAAGATAAGGCCAATCAAAACTCATATTTTAAAGAAAAAAATTAATTTGCCATGCAGAGTTTTAATCAACTCACGTTAAGATAGCTGTGTGTTCACCTCAACGCGCTACCTGCAGGGGAGGAGCAGATGAGAGAGGGGCTTTACAGCTTCATGGCAAGGAGAGAATGATGCTGAAAGAATAAAGACAAATAGAGAAACCCTCATCTGATCCTTTAAAGGCCTTATGTTTGGAAAGATTAATACATTAATTTTATTATTATATGATTAATTTTAATTCTATACGCCAAGAGCTGCTTTGGTGGTCCAGCCTCAGGAATTACATTTCATCATTTAGGTTTTAATCTTAAATCTCAAATCGAAGAAACCCCTGCAAATGCTTGCATTTACACTCAAATATGTAAATTCTCAATAATACCAGTAAAAAAAAAGGAATATGCTTCAATATCTTTAAAGGTCAGATGCTAAGAACTTCTTATACTAATAGTAAAGCATACAGCAGTGTTCTTCCAATAAAGCAACTTTGTAGGTGGGTAACTTTTAGAATAGAGGCACAAAAAAACACCAGCCAAAATCCAAGAAAACCCTATCAGTCCCTAAACAATCCAAACTTTTCCTTCAATTTGGACTTCTCCAAGATGTACAGCACTGCTGTTTTGGTAAAGCACTGTAAAACGTCCAGAAACTTTTCATTTCCAGGCACCTGAAATTAGGAATTACGTCACAGAGAAATCCTCATGCTTTCTTATCCCGTAAAAAAAAAAAAAAAAAAAAAAATCACCCATTTATCCTATAAAGTGCACTAAATTGCTCAAGAACTGAATACAGAAAATAGCCCGTCTTCCTGATAGGATTAATACATCTTTGATATCCAGGGATGGAAATACTGCAGTGTCATAATTAAGAATGCCAGCATTTACATAACCAAGCCTAACTGCTGGAATTTTTATAAACTATTAAAACTATCACCTCGGAATTTTTCACTGCGTTCATTTTATTTATACAAGAGAATTTAAGGAATCAAAATTTAGTGGTATCTTTATAGTTTAGGAAATTCTGTTCTTAAAGCAAAAATATCCTTGCTTTTGGAAATCAGTTTCCAGAGTCCAAAAAAGATTGGCAAGGGGAGGCATTTCAGAATTTCAAAGCAAAATACAGTAAAACAAATGAAGGAGCTAATTTATTCCTTTTTTTTTTTTTTTTCCAAGGAGCATGACTAATTATATTAATTCACTCCTCCTGCAACAATTTTCTCATGCAGCTTATTACAAAACTAAATTGAACATTAGAACCAAACAATTCATTAAAGTTTACAAAGCCTAAAGCCTGAAATGCTTTTCCCAACATTCTGGTGAGGACAAAGCAGCTCCTCAGCAGGGTCAGTTGGTGTTCTGGATGGGTTGGGGTCTGAATGGGGCTATGGGTAGAGATTTGGGGGGGCAAAAAAGGTACAGTCAAAAAATCTCAACCTTTATTCTGAATTCTCTTCAGGTTTTTTAGCTCTAAGAAACTCACATGCCATTCAAAATTGGTAATTTGCTTGCTCTTCAGTTTACTGTGATTTAGGCCGGGACCAACAGAATTGATAATTCTTTATTTCCATTAACACTTAATATTGATAAATTCATGGGGTAGCCTCTGTTACTGAAAACTCTCTGTGCTTGGGAATGACAGACACGTTCCCTGGAAGCTCCATTAATGCTGCAAAAAGGGATATTCTGAAAAGCAAACTGAGACTTGAGGACAGTACGCTCGTTTATGAAAGCTACGTGGCTCCCAAATCAAATTTAATACCAAGCTCAGCTCTTAAGTTTCTCAAAAATCAGCATTAACCACAGTAAGACATAAAAAACACCGTTGAAAGGCCTTCAGTATTATTTTACACTCGGCAGGTTGCCAACTACTCCAACTCCATCTAGCTGGGATCTCACCCAGATCTTACCTGCTGGTTTTACCTGAACAGATTTATTCAAAATAGTGACAAGCACAACGGTGTCGAACCAATGAGATACCGGAACAAGCAATTTGCAAGAGGTGGAAAAGTTAAAATGTCAAAGTGTACTCTTGAAGTGTGAATACTCAGTCAGCAACAGTGTGTGGGGACATGCATGTCACACAGACAGGTGTTGCACAAGTGACAGCCTGGCTCGGCATGGTAACACATTCGTTACCGCCGCACCTCGCGGTACGATATTTAATATCTTTGCCAAAGTACCCGAAACCAAAGAAAGA